TTTTACAATTACGATTCGGCTGGAATCAATACCAGCATGGAAAGTTCGAAGAGATTTAGGTTAGGCTGGACAGGGTGCGATCGATCCTGCGAGAATCAATGCCTCGAATAGCCCATGAAAACAACCGAACGATGAGAAACATTTGTCGGAAGAATTTCGTATGCCAAATATAAACATATAAACGTTTTACCGAAATATCAGACTCGGTTATTCGTGGTTGTTTATACAAGAGTCATAACAAATCGACCGTGATGTATGTATTGAAGAGGTAAAAAAAAAATAAAAAATACATATTCATTTGTAGGAACAAGGAGATCATAAAAATTGTCGGGATTTACTGGGTCGGAGATGAGTTAAAAAGGGAAGGAAAGAAGGAAGTGTAATGTTGCGACACTTCCTTCTCGCAAGAAATACTTGCTGCAAATTGACTTAAATCCCGTCCAGTTTTCTAAAGTTTTTTTTCGAACTGGGTAAAACTCGTGGACCTGTTTTCTCGGCACTAGGATTTCCAACTTTTGCTCATTGGTTGATTTTTTTTGTTTGCTGATGCCTGTGCAATTCTGGTCTTGCAATAGAAAGTTTCGTTCTTCTCCATTTGTAGCGACGACTTAATTGTACCGTTTGTTAATGTGCGCTACCGAGTATTATTGAAAGTGTGCCTTTCGCTCTTAATAACTAAAGTACTGAATAATTACCGATCGCAATAATAAGTCGGCCACCGAGAATCGGTGAAATGTGACTGACGTGATTAGCGAAACTGACATACAATTTCTCGACGGAACGTTGTATACATGAAAGGACATTGACAGGCATCGATTGCGGGTATCCTGCGAAAGTCGCAAAAGTACTCTAGAAGTCGATGTTACAGTATCGGGACAGTGTAGTACACTTACAGGTTCCTCATTCTTGCAATTTCTCCTCGAGTGTATTCTCGTCCCTCATCAGCCGGAAATTTATATTCATCGGGACTTTCGTTAATCTTTTTTTCTTTATCCTTCCTTAACCCTCCGGTAGGTTTAATCCCTAGGATTAATTATTAAGCTCGGGACATCTTTTTTCCTCGATGCTCCGAGAGGTTTTCCAGTGAAACACGAATTCGATATGCATTTTTCGAAATTCTTCGGGATTGCATTTCCTGGGGATTTGTGAGGCCAGAGTGGCCTCGGAAATTGCGAAATACGCTCGAATACAGAAAGAAAGCACGAAAGCACCGGAGACTGCTCGCAATTCCCGACGAGTCGTCGGTTCCGCTGGTAATGGCGTGAAAGGACTCTCCTGGCGTGGAAGTCCCTGAACGGTATTCGTCATGGTGTAATAATAAACGAACCTCCGTGCTTTAGGTGCTTGTCGTGATCGCGCGGAGAGATTCGTCTGGCGGAACCCTGTAAAGGCGTCGATGCCTACACAAAGGCCATTTTTGGATGTTTCAATGTGTCCTTCCACGATCAATTTTAGTCACAATAATTTCGGAGTGCTCCAACATTTTGCGTTCTATCAGTTGCCACGTGGGTCCTGACAGGTAATTTCTTTCGCCTGGATTTTGCGTCGTTGCGTATTTCGCGGTTGTTTTGTCCCGCGATGGTATATATCTTTTTCATACCGATAACATTTCGATATCCTTGTCCGTTTCTGGTATTGATTTTTTGCAATTATTTCCAAGAGTGCTCCATTGTCGTCGAGCTGTCATTTGTCACGTGGGCTTTATCTTATGATTTCGTCGTGTGGAACCGTTCTACGCATTCTCGTATACGGTTGCCTTGTTGTCGAATGGTGTTTTCTCCGATATTGCTATTGTTTGAATGCAGAGGGATAGAGAGATTCTCCGTTCGCAGCGTTATTTACGACGGGAATATCTCGCTTCATCTTTTATATATTTTTCCACGTCGATCGAATAATTTCTTCGCGTGCTTCATTGTTTGTGACGATCGTAAACGGGAGATTGCGAGTTTCGGATTTTGTGGCGCGGCGTTCTTCTTCTTATTCTCGAAAGATGTTTTTTTTATTACATAAATCATCGTCACATGATTTTAGCCACTTTGAAATTCTTATTACTTGTGATTAGATATTACTAAACGAGGGTGATTTTCCATTGTAGTTTACGCTCGGAATAACATTTTTACAAAAATCGGTAACATTGTGCGACTGGAATTATCCAATGCAATTGAAAGGTGTTTATCTGTATATCTATTCTAATGTATAAAGACATTTGATTCTACGTTTGCATGTTCGCGGTAATCTCGAAATCTACCGAACCGATCTTAATCGGATGTTTATTCATATATTCTTGTCGATCCTGAGAAGGATATAGACTGTTTAATTCTTCTGTCACGTATCAATCCCCGTCGTCGTACCACGGACAATTACATGTTGTCTTACCATCCGCAGGAATAAATGGCGTACAATTTATAATACTATATCCTGGCAAGAAAACGTCGAATATAGGATATCCAAAAGTATTAACCTAAACAAATTCCACTACAAGGTATTGTCTAACGCCTCGTGCAATCGAAATTATAGTAACCTCTATTCCTATTAGAAATCCCTCTTCGGCTCGTCCAGTACTTCCTTTAGCTCAACTAGATCCCATATTAATTCCTCGACATCCAGGTTCAATTACCGTCCCCAAAAATAACTCCACCTCATATACTTATCCTACATTTCCTTTCTAACGGCACATTTCTATTAATAATTCTAACAAACTGAAAATACAGAAGTCGCGAGGAGTTTCCTTCTGCCTCGTATCATAGGAAGGCGCGCCCCCGCCCACGCATTCCATTTTCAGAGCCCAGGATCATTACGGTCGCCTCGTTTGTAGCCTTCCACTAATTAACGATCGCGCTCGCATTAAGTAACCGGCTGGCGTTGTCTGTTCCGTGCGAAAGCGCGGCTCTGAAAGCCGGCCGACGTGGCGAACTAAAAGCGCGAGGGGTCCCCGCGTAAATCCAGAGGCATTTCCGTCTTCATCGAGACAGTAAAACGCCCATTATACATTATGTGCGATTCGTGATTCATGCGTTTTGTGCGCAAATATTGCGTATGGTCGATGCGTTCAAATTCGCGTCAATGGGGGATGGTTAGTTGTCTTGACGGAATACTTGATACACGTAAAATCGGCGCATCCACGAATCGAGAATTACGAATGACGCATAGTGCGAATGGCCAGATCGTCGCATCGACGAATTTGTACGAACCGACGCACCTCGAAACACGCATCGGGGGTGTAAGGGACTTAAGGGGACGGGAAAGTGAATGGAACTTTTCTCCGAACCGAGTGAACCGAATCGTTTCAAACTTTACAACGTGAATATGGAGGCTGTAAGGAAGGTCCTGGCGCCCATGAAATTTCATGTTTAATGAAAAAAAATTTGAAATACTTATAAAGAAATTTTTAAACAATTCACAATTCGAATTTCACGGGGGCCAGGATCTTCTTTATAGCCTCCATATTCACATTGTAAAGTTTGAAAAGATTCGATACACCCGGTTAAGAGAAAAGCTTCATAAACGAAACCTCTGTGTAGCCAGAAGCGTCGAAGAGGCTTTGTTTATAAAACTTTTCTCCAAACTCGATTTACCGAATAGTTTGAAACTTTACAACGTGAATAGGGAGACTATAAGGAAGGGCCCGAAACTCATGAAATTTCAATTCTTTTCAAATTTCTTTATAGGTATTTTCAAAATAGCTTATAAGAAATGAAATTTCGCAAGTTTCAGGACCTACCTTAGGGTCCCCATATTCACGTTTTAAAGTATGAAACTATTTGAGACACCCAGTTCGTAGGAATGTTTTATGGACGATTGAGCATTCGGATGCCACTTTCACATCCCCTTAACGTCTGCCCGTTATTTGCATCGCCGGTCGCCAGGGGGCGCGTCGAGTTGGTCGTCTATCGCGCTGCCTCTTTCGTGCCTTTTCCCCGTTACCTATGATTCACTCGCCGACGAGACTGGGCGAGACTCGGAGGGTCGGCTCGCACTTTTCATCCCTTCCTTCCCTGTTGAATTTTTTTCTCCTAAACGGTCTCATCTCTCCCTCTCCACTAATTTCGCGCCGTTTATTAATCCCCCCTCCGTAAATTTGCAGCCTCGCTCTCCTACGCACCTTTGATCTTGCCGGTAATTAAGCGTGATGTAATAGATATTCGTTTAATAAACCGGGTACAGTCTACTGGGAAAGTACGACTTGGGGGCGTAATTAGAGGCGATGAATGTGCTTCATATTTTTTCTTTCGAAGCGGGTAAGATCGAGGTGGATAAATTACGCTGGAATTATATGCTTATACTTTGGCGGTTGGGTGGAGGTAAAAGTTGAGTAAAACGCTGAAGAAGTTGTTCTTCCTTTTGTCTCTTTTTTTTTTTCCATTATCATCAGAGGGAGAACTCCCGTTATTAATCTCACAAAGTTCAACATTCTGGGTATTTTTCATCCGGTAATAATGAAGCGTGATGTAACAGATAGTCTCGCGATAAGCATCGCGTGCAGTACAGTTCGTTGGGAAATAGCCTTTGGAACATGACAAGTTGTAATTACGATCGCGGTTTTCCAGATTTTTAATACCGCTAACCTTTGAACTAACTCGTGAAAATTAATGGAAAATAAGTATCAAATTGAAGTCATTGCGAATACGTTTCCCGTAGTTTTGTTATAAGTTCTAAGAACGAGCTGGGGCTTTCTTTGTCTTCTTGTTTATCGATACGTTTCTTCCTCGCCTTCTTTTTTTTTTTTCTTTTTATACCCCTGGGAAACGCGAGAAACATCCTCCGGCGTCCTCTGCATAACTCGAAAGTTACGTTCGAGATCTAACGGAAGTCGCATATTTACGATGATGCGCGAACGCAACGTGGGTAGGCTGAATAAAGTTCAAGGTCAGGTCGTTAAGAATCAGTCATTGTGAATATATCGAGCTAAATCTCCCACGCTGCTTGTTAATACAAACCGTATCGCAAGTTCCTTGGCACGAGATCGTTCTACGGGCTGACTCTTCCGGTTTCTGTTGCAGGCCTGGCCCGTGTGAATTGCAAGACCCGTTGTGGGTCAAAATGAGTGCAATCACCGGCAACATCACCAAGAAGAGAAAGAAATCAGATGCCAAGCCTCAGTCGCAAATGTAAGTATCTTTATAGTTTTTCCAACGTCCAACGCGTTCAAAAGTGTACGCACTAATGTAGGTGAAAAAAGATACGCTAAGTCTACTGTGTATTTAGTTTGTTTAAAAGTTCATTTAAAAATGCAGGATTTACGTGCGAGTTCATTTGAACACGTAAAATATTTAACGTGACCTTAGTTTATGATTTCAAAGTGCGATGCATCTTTAAAAAAAAAAGAAAAAAGAAAGTTTGGAAATGCGAAGCGTGACGAACGAACGCCCCAAACTTTTCCGCTTGAAATGTTTCTCTCCCTTGATAACGGACAATTCTTCCTGGGGGGAAAAAAAAAGAAGGAAATTAAGAGGGAAGAATTCATTAACGAATGATTTACATAAACTTGTCGCAGTTCGTTACGCGTAGAGGCATGTTAAATTGTGTACCATAAATTCTTAACGATTACATCTGAACAATTCTTGTCGTTGCGGGGTAGGGAATGTTCCGCGAAATGTTGAGATATTCTCTGGTGGGGTAATTGAAGGTGATTTCCGTTACAGTAACAAGTGCCTTAACGAGAAAAGACGACGGACCCAGGAGAACCTGTATATCGATGAGCTTGCCGAGCTGATTTCCGCCACGGACATGAGCTCTGGCAAGACCGACAAATGTCAAATTCTACAGAGAACCGTCGACCAGGTGAGAGCCTCGATCTTGTAATTCATCGAACATTAATAATTTATTAATCGACAAACCGTGGAGTTTATCCAGAAACGCAGTGACTCGATATTGCGTTTCTCCACGTGTCACTTTTCATTTTATCAAAGCATTCGATCATTCATTATGTGCATACCGTGCCGTTTAATAACGCCGCTTATTAATTGTCTCGGCGCTTTGGGGGAAACCAGAACTTAATGGGCATATCTAATTACGCATCCGCGCGGCTGTACTACTTCCTCCGGTAGGTGCACCGAGATAACAGAACAATCGCTCTTACATTTCCTGATGCGCGAACTAACAAATTCAATACCTATGTCACGTCTCCGGGAAAATGCGTGGTTAATTGCCCGCGCATTTGCACAGAGGAAATTAACGAGAGAAGATACCCATGGAACGTTTCGGACTGAAATCTTACGAGAGAGTCATCTCCGTACGATCGAAGAGTTTCTCTTTTCTGCCTTAATCTTTCATGTATCTCCATATCCGTATGGGCGCATTTATCCTGTCATGAAAACGTCTGTCGGGCATGAGGTAACTTTTTGCACTTGGCACGACCCAATTACGCGTCCGGGATGTGTTTCCTCGGAGAAATGCCTCGAGGAATAAGAAGAGGGAAAAAAAAATGGAAAAAGGAGAAACCGATCACCCAATCATCCCGTTCTTCCGATCGAGGCGGATCCATTTCCTGCGTACGCGGTTCCGCGTCGCGTCTGGATCGGCGGATTAATCGATCGAAAGAGACGGGATCAATTAGGAATCAAGAGGTGGGCTGCGCTTTGCGAGAGAGATGACGTACTTTCTCGGCAATAAACGAAGGTTAAGGCTGCCGAGAGAGTGGATCGCACAAAAATAGCCTCCAAGATCCGAGCATTATTTTACACAGAGTGATTGAACTCGCCGTTTCTTGCCCTGCTAAGCTTATTTTCTGGTTTGTCTCCCCCTTTTTGCGCGTACTATATAAAGCCACGCTGAAACCGATTCCACATTTAATGATCAGTAATACGTAATTATTAGGTATCATTAATTTCATTTTATTAGACTAAGTATCAAGTATTTGCAGGCTGGGGCGATATAACTGTCGCCACGTAGAATTGATTGCCAATTCGGAAAATGTCGGGTGAAATTTGCGAGTTCGGTACGGGAGTCGGTCTTGCACTTAATACCGCCATATATCACGAAATACCTCGTGGGGATATCCCGTTTTTTTTTTTTTTTTATTCAATTGGATTCATATTAATTCATTCGACGGATTTCGTAAAGGTGCACTTAAGAAGTCAAGGTGTGGAAAAGGAAGGTAACCTATATATCTTAAAATAAGAAGGGAGGGATGAGATAAGTGTGGGTGATGCAGTGTCTACTTCCTTTAACCTCACGGAGATTTTCATCCGAAACGTTTCTCTCGGTGCCGAGCGATGAAGGAATTATTCAAAATGGCAAAAGTTATTGCCTCATCCTTGTATATGTATATATATGTGAATTTATATTGTTTTTTAACGAATGCGAGAGAGACGGGACGAGTCGGGGCTCGCGATATTAAGAGGGGAAAGCGATGCCGAGAGGGAGAGTGATTCTCGTACCTTTTTTCTCTCATCTCAGGGCAAGAAACCGCGAGTTTTATGAACCACCAGGAATACACGTCGCGGGTTACTGGCGGCGTTCCCTGGAAGGGGCACTTCCGGCCGCCATGATGCTTACGCTGCTCTCGACCGAGCACGTGTTAATTCTTTAAACGCTGCAGCACTCTGCACCGACCTGTCCGAGTTTCCTTCGACATTGGAAACGTAGATTAACAATTACTCTTGGACGTGGGGGCAATTTGTACCCCGTAAACCAGCGCTTTTCGAGAGGAATTTAAAGTGGAATTAAACAGCTTCGTAAAGGATAGGAAAACTTCTGGTGATACTTATAAAGATCGGTGGAAATTTACATACATTTTTACATACCGCATAACTGAAGGTTTACATAGAAAAACGTAAAATGGAGAAATTGAAAAATAAAAAAAGGTATAAATACGCGTAACGTTGTATATTTACCGAATTTGCGCGTTTTTACTCGAATTATATGTAATATTACGTTATAGCTTTCATTAACTTAGATGCTGAACGTGATATTACGGGGACAAAATAATTTTCCTGCAATTTATTGTGGCATAAAAATAACTAATGATTGAATATGTAAATTTATATGGGCATTTTTATCAGTGTAGATTGACATTTCATGACGGAAGGCTATCGTAGTCAAAATTTTGCAACAGAATGATCGTACAAAAGAAATTCTTTTTTAAGTGGATTTTTTTTTAATACGTGTAAATTGGCATGTTATGAAAGGGGGCCGTACCGGAAAGTGGAACGCTTTTTTATATACCTACAGTATATTATTATTCATTTTTAGGGGTTAGCGTTACGTCCAAAGGAACCGGCCCGAACGCGTAAAGGCACTTTATGAAAGAATGATTCAGAATAATTTAGAATAATTCCCTTTATTTTACAAAATTTTCCACTCCCAATACGGGTGGCAGATCTCCCGCCGACTTTTTTATTCTAATTATATGTATTATGGAGTTTAGTTTCATAATAATTACATCGTACGACGTGCTATCTATTTTCTTAATATCGTGGATTTAATTCCTGTTAACGTCGACCTCACTAGATTGATTTGAGTAATGTGAGGTGTTATCGCCTAATTCGGTGTCAAAACCAACATTGCATTAGTCGGAGGCACGTTTCGTAAGGCGAAAGATCTGGCTTGATGTAACGAGTTTCTGTAATGGGTACAAGTTTGTGCTTAGTGTTGCCACGCGCGATTACATGGTTTAAAGAGTGTATATTAAACATGGAGCCTGCAATAGCCATTGCAATGTGTAATTTCGAGTTGTGGTTGGGTCATTGCCAATGCATTGGCACCACTTCCCCGTTTCTTTATGGCGTTACCTACTCTCAATTCGATGCCGTTGGAAAGCAACTTGTCATATTAATTGAACACCCGTTTAACCATAATTACAGATTTAAGACTTTGAGTGACATGGTACAATATTCGATAGACCATCCAATGACATTAGACTTTTTCTTCTAATCCAATTTCCCTCGGCGATATTCGCGGATAAATTATTTCCTGTATTTTTTTTTTTTTCAGAAAATGTCCCTTTAAATGCCTGAATAGAAGTAAAAGTCTAGTGTCATTGATTAGATGATGATGATCGAAAACAGGCATTCCGCGATTCGATTACCGATGCCGTCCAACTAAATTCCCGTTCACGGTTCAAGATTTTTATCCCGGAGCCGTTAGAGTGATTTTCGATGAAGTTTCCAAATTGTTAAAAGGTCGGTCAGCTTTTTCGGGACGTCGGTGCATCTATAAATTAAGAAGTGGGTTTGCACAGATACTCGCGATTCTGCGTTCAGCGATATTCGCCGATAAACTGCATGCCAGTCCAATTAACCAGTCCGGCGTGCCGATCCCGAAATGGATCTGTAGATTCTATCGATTACGGATTATTGACCTAGATAAAATTAATTAAGGAACTAACGATTCTCGGGGATGCGTTCCCCCTGACATGACGCGGAAAGCCTTTTCGCCGCTCCGTTGTTTTTCCCTCAATAGCCGACACTACGGTTCGATTCATTACTCCTCCTGTATTACAGTGACTATAGATGTGTATCTTTCGTTTTAACTATTACGTGAAGTCGACCTAGATAAAGTTAATTAAAAGAGCTACGACATTTAGGGATCCGTACGTACCGCGAACTTTTAACTCTGATATTTTTACGATCGATAGAATGTTCACTATATCGTGCGATAAACTGTCGTGTCGTCAATTGATTAGTCGGTTTGATTAATAATACTTCATCTTCACCACGTGGAAAGACTAATTGGATAAAATCTGTCCGCAGCAGTGTCGTTCCTTAAGGACCCGTTATTACGCTTTACGACGTGTTACATGATTCATTGATTTTTTTCCTGCCATTACAGTATCATTACATGGATCCTACATCCTCATCAATTAGGGGGAACAATTGACCCAGATAAAGTCAGCCCCAAAAGACGAGTCTTCTTGAGAGACACGTTCCGTCGCTCGTAACGCGCCTTGATTTGATCATTCTTTCCTTTCCTATTTATCACCTTATTTTTCTTTTTTCGGTCGAATGGAATGGGGGCACCTTGGACTTTAGGATGAAAAAATAAATTTAAGAAAATATAATAAAAATCATTTCGAACTAGAGGTGAGAGATATCTCCAAGAGATTCATTCCTTTGCGCGATGGTGCTTTGTAGATTAATTAAAGATGAGTTTCGATTGATTATGCCAGTGACGAACGAATTCGACATCGATTGGCAATAATTCCCTTCGGGATTGTGGAAAAAAAAAACTGACCCAGATAAAGTCAGTTCGAAAGAGCGCCGTTTCTTAGGGATACATTCCTACGTTTTATTACGCGGAGTGCCGTTGCGGGGATTTATGTGGCGTTCCCCGAGGCCTTTCGATAGGCCGGCAAGGTGTTTGCCTTTCCGTCCCTTCGTTTCCGGAGATTCGGCGAAATTAATCCTCGGGAAGGCATGATCGATTCGTTGCGGAAGAGCCGAACGATGCCGGCCGACGCCGAGGGGGACGCGCGGGCAGCTCGTAAGAAGAATTCATGGGAAATCGCGATAGCAATGCGTGGAATAAGGCGCCTCGGCTAGTGGCAACGTCGCAAACCGTTTGTCGGACTCGGCGCGGAGTCACCGACTTTTCGAGGTCACGCGTCCAACCTGGTCGCGATTACGGCGCGATCTAGCGGCGGCAGGGGAAACGAGCAATCAAGGCCGGAGAGCGCGACCGCGAACTCGGTCGGTAAGGCAGGGAGCCAGCAAAGGTTGACCTGCGAGGTCCAATGCCGAGGGGACTGCTTTGCTCTTGAATCTTCTAAGGTTGAAGATACAGTCTGCGAATAGTTAGAATTTGTTTGCCATTACATTCATATTCTGATTTAACATCCCTGTTGTAACATATTGTACACGTTGTACAGGTATTTTTCCCTGAACGTGTCGTACTTGTCTTTCGGTAACCGTCAAAATACAAGGTCACACACCTCGTCTCCTTTGCATCGTGAAGTTCGCTTCTTTAATTCTTATCTTTACCTCTTGGGTGGTCCCATCGTATATAAAGGATGAATAATATTTCCTTTGATAATATTTACTTTATGCTAATTAAAGCTGTCGTACTTGAGTGACATTGAATCCAATGCACGCAAGCAGTAATTAAGATATTTTTAGGACCTCTAGGTAACGAACCGATACACACGTGACTATTCATTTTCGTCCGTTTCTTTAACTACCAAGATCGATCCATGGACTTACGAAGAAAGGGATCGATGCGCGGGTGAAGCATAAAACGTAAGAGGAAGGAGCGGGTGGCGGCCATCTTCCGTTGCTATCTTTCTTGCCTGCTTTTAGACGGATCTAAACAACAACAAAAAAAGACAGTTTCAAGAATAGGGTAGTCGTTAGTGACACTTGCGATTTTTATGTTCTTAAAAACAATATCCATCACAATTGTACTACCTTTATACCTTGACGCGCACTTTATCGTATTTTAAAAATTATACTCTTCGGCTGTCACTGTTTATGAATATGATGATCGCGCGTCTATACGTGGCAACGTAAGATGGCCGCTGCAGTTCCTTCCTCTTGCGTCTCGAGCTTCTGTCTCTAAAATCTCACTCTATGCTGCATTCGGTCCTTCATAGATCTATGAATTGATCGTACTATACGGTTTCGGAATGGTTTCTCCGGGCTACCGAGACGACTTCGCCGCCAAGAAGCGTCACTCCCGACAATTAGCGAGTCCCTGGATTACTCCTAATTCAATATTACGAGGTCGTTGTGAAAAACGAGGAAGTATTCCGCAGATCGTCCCTTGCGGTGATAGTTTCGACTATTCTGCCCTCTAGGAGCGGTTGCCAAAACTACCGATGCGATCGCGGAGCTTTAACGACGTAACGGCCACTTCGGCGCGATATCCTAGGGAGTTTTTTTGCCAACCTTAACATATTCCCCAACGACCCTTTACGACCAGAGGGGCCTCGTTCACTTATGAGCTGAATCTTCATAAATTTAACGGCACTCGTTTCTTTTTCAGATTCGGCACATCAGGCAACAAGAAGGCTCGAATAGTCATGCCGTGCAGCAGGGAGAAGTCTCCTCGTCGAATCCCAACATACTGTCCAACGATCAAGTTGGTCCTATCTTGCTCGAGGTGTGCATAATTCCATTTAACACGTGTTTCGACCATTGCCATCGCTCCCAGATTTTTATCATCTTTTTTTCAGCTATTTTCCTTGCGTAAACCTGTATAGATAGATGCATGGATGGATAGATAGAAGGTTTCTCATGGATCCCAATGAAAGGAAGTCACTGCGATCAAAATTCTCGTCGAGCGTGGAACGTCCTGTCGTATAATATGTTTCACTGCAACCGGTAGGGAAAGAAGACTTAAAATGGATAACAGTATTAGGCATATTCTTTTCTCGGTGTATCGGTTTCTAGGAATAATTGTTGTTAAGGATAAATCTTTTAAAGTCGTTATGCGTTTTGTTTCTGTAAGGAGAAGCTCGGTTATCGCTTTAATTGCTAATTCAGGTACGGGAGCCACTGTTTTATCACTTTATGTCGAAGGGTAGGTGTTACGGGGCGGTTGAACAAAGCGTATTTGGATTAAACGGAAGTTTAAGGTTTATTCGTATCTTGATTGAGTCTTAAGTTGGATCCGTCAGTAGATCGCGGCCACTTCCTCGAGTTTTACAAGGCTTTTTTTTCCATTTTTTACAGACAGTTGTTTTAGGAGTTGTATAAGGAATTTTAGAAGTTACACCTACGGGTTTTAGGAGCTTAAATGTCCTCTTGGGCGACTGCGCACGCTTGAGACCGAATATTTATTTTCCTTTGTATTGCACCAAGTATAATGAAGCTCAAAGTAAGTGTTCTTTTACTCGGTTGCGAACGGGCTCGTGAAAGTACGGGGAGGAAACGGTCTTGGTTTTTTCCTTGAGAACTGGAATCTCTCTAATTCCCCCATTTTCTTTTTGTTTCCCTTTTCGAAATGCTTGCCTCCACATGTTTACTTGTACCTTCTCCTTTTTGCTCCTTCCCTTAAAAACAATGAGTAGTTTCTTGGGAGTACCTTCCCCAACTTGTAAAGGCTCTGCAGGTGATTTTTCATTGCATGATCTTACCGACATTTCTTAATTTATTTTTTTTTTTCTAATTATTGGAAAGGATTATCTGAAACTGACATAAGCATTTTGGACTTCAGGAATCTTATTTGCTGATTTTAGTTGATCGATTTCTGATAGAAAGGCCAAATTTCTCATTTGCATGGGCCAAGATGTCATCACGACTGCATTTAAATTGTTATAAGATTATATATTTTTATTAAATTACGTATGTTTATTAATTAACAAACTTCTGGCACTTCCTGCACTAATTTTGTAAGCCTCATGAGAATTTGCGATGTCGGTAAATGGCAAAAAGTCATCAATGTTCCCTTTCGTAACCTGCGTACTAACGCTGGTCGTTTCGTCGAGACGTAAGCGAGGTCTGCTATTAACAAACTTTGGTTTCGAGGGTGTAATAACATTCTTTTGGATTTTCTTTCAGGCTCTAGATGGTTTTTTGTTCGTCGTGAACACAGAAGGGCGCGTTGAGTACGTGACGGATAATATAACCCAATATATAAATTATTCCAAGGACGATGTGCTTGGAAAAGATATTTATAATATTATTCATCATGGAGACCACAACACCTTCATGCCTAGCTTGCTGCCAATGTCAATAGGTTGGTGTCATTGTATTCGTATATTTGATAATTATCGGTACCGTAGAGATTGTACCTATTTGTGAGGAAAGGAAACTTTTAGATATTAACTCGTTTTAATTTACAGCGACTTATATGATTTTTTTTTCGTGATACATATAATGGGATCTTCGTTGATGCCGAGTGTCGGAATTTCCTAACGCGACAGAAATTTGATATCATCTCCGTATTTGAATGCAGGCATTATATTCAAGATCCGCCAATGGCCACCACGTGCAAATGCGGTCGTATAAATTCTCATTGCGTCTTACCTTGACTCTTATTGTGCAAATGCACGATTTAACGCTAAATCGTCCCAAGAGTCAGAAACCGTTCACTCGGTAAAACGAAGTGTTCATTATGTAATTTAAGAAAACCTACTTGCTTAGGTTAAATGGATGTAAGCACGTTGTTCGCCGGTTGACAAAATCAGTTTTCCGTGTCGACGGTGCATTATGTTAAAACGTGTGCTCTGTAAAAGTTGTTCAGGTCTACACACCCAACGATTTCGAGCTGAATGTTTATCATAGCTCGCCCCGTTGAGGCAGAAAATTGTATTTTCTTTTTTCACACGGTGTAAGTGGTTTGGTAATGGTCCCTTCACTTGAATGAGAGTCTAGGCGGCTTAAAAAGTAAATGAAAAATAGGCACAATCGTTTGTAATACTTGCCAGTCGGGTAACACCTGAATCTTAGGGGAATATCGGAGAATTTCGAAGCGTTGTATAATCAGTAGAAAAGAGAAAAAGAGGACGAAGAGAGGAATGCTAACGTTCGTATTTTTATGGCAGGCTGGACGAGCGAGCCGCAGGCTCAGACGAGAAATCGCACCTTCAACTGTCGCTTCCTGGTGAAGCCTCCTGATGACAAGGAAGAGACTATGGAAGAGAAACAGCAGCGTGTATCGAAATACGAGACCATGCAAATATGTTCCGCGCTCCTTCCGAATAGCAGCGATCGCCTGGAAGGCGGGGACGTCTCCTCCGAGTCGACGGACGTGGGTCCGTGCGTGATGTGCGTAGCGCGAAGGATTCCATTGAACGAGAAGCCGATTGGCACGCCCATCGAGCAGTTCACTGTCAAGCTGGACCCGACCGGCAAGATCGTAGCCGTCGACACTAGTTGGCTGTCGATTTCTTACTCCAAGTACCTAAACAAGGTGAAAGACTGCGTTAAATTACCCTAAGGGTTGCTGTTTCCGGGACCACTGAAACGGTTCTTGAGAGTTCCGCTCGTTACGGTTGGACTAGCGACAATTGTTAAATGCTGTTTTTTTAACTTCACAGTTGGTGTTGATGACCAAATGCACACCGGGAACAGCAACTCTGATCGATTAACTGATGTATTTATATGCGGAGGTCCCCTATTTATGTTGTTATGTTTCTTGACTTTAGGACCTGATTGGTACCGCAATACAGGACTTGTGCCACCCGCATGATCTCAGCAAACTAACTGCTCATTTGAAGGATACGTTACAAGTCGGCGAAGACACCAGCCCGATGTACCGATTGCGCGTTAGTCCTGATAAGTTCCTTAACGTTCAAACCAAGTCAAAACTCTTCAAAGCGAATGTGATGAACGGGCATGAGACGGACTTCATGATGGCTACGAACTCTATCGTGGGGTAAGTTTCGCAGGAAGTTCTGCAGCTTTTTGAAAACGAAGCGATTAAGTGGTAGATTTAAGTGGGAGTTCTCGTCAAGGAAAATGGCGGCTCCGTATGTATTATCGCAATGGCTTATCTTAATACGGAGTACGCGGTTTTCTTGGAGGGAACGTTCTGCGCCGAAACTGAACGTCATTCCTGTGTTGTATATAACGCCAGCACAAATGATCCGTTTAGAGTGTCCTTTTAATCATTTCCCTTCGCCATATTTTCTACTTAACAAGTGTTTCTTTCCGGGTCTCGCGTTACGTGTTCCTTGAGCAATTTCTTTCCGTTTCTCAGAAATGAGAATCGTTCATTTGGATGCGATTAGATGTCCGCGGTACATCGGAAAAGGACCGATATTCGTGAATGTATATCTTAAAGAAATGTGTTATTGCTTTTTGCACCGCTTGCTGGCTAAAAGATAGCTAAGGCGACATTATGCCTTCGTTTCGGAGCGCACTTACTCGTTGCAGGCTTTCGAAAGAAAATTTGAACAAGGAAACAAAATAGTACGAAGGGAACCGTTTTGCATGTACTTTGGGAAGGAATTTTTCTTGTCGGTGTTGGAGATCTGGCCACTCTTGAAAATAAAACTGTCCCCGCCCTTCTTGTTGCGGCTTCGGAATACGCGTGCATCTACTTAACGTCATGTTTAAAACATGCCACTCGTTAACAATAAATTTGAGCGTTCGCTAATCGCACGGTGTAAATAATCATCCGTTTCGTGTGTAATAACGGTCGATTCAAGTTTTATCCTCTTTTGTTTTTCAATGGATATTTCGTTTTCTTAATGTTGTCTGCACATAACAAAGCGAACGTCGGCGGTGGATTTTCATTTCTTCATCTCTCAATTTATCCTCGGACAAAGCCGGGGCCACGTTTGTTGCTAAAACGAGCGTTATCTGACGAATTGTCAGCTCGCAGAAGAAATGTGCACGGTAGGTGTTATCGACCTTTATCTGGAGGCGATAACGTCAATGGGGCACTGGCATAACAGAGCAATTTGTAGAGCAATCGTGTCGATGACTGACTACTCCCTTAAGAAAGGAAGAAAGGAAGATTTACGCACGTTTCTGAAATCAATGCGAGATACGCATTTCCTGATTATGTGTGATTAAATCCCGCGGGAGAATCTCTGGCTGCTGTTTTAACACGAGAGAGTGGGTTCGGATGGAGGAACTCCGAGTGTTCGTTTCAGTTGGAGGACTCGTTACCGAAATTCCTTTAGATGCACTTTAGTCACAAGTGTCGCATTTCCACGAACGGTTGGGAGAATATGATCCTTACCGCAGTTCGGGTCGGAAACGTTTACGGAATGAGCTCCTCAATTCGCACTTCGTAGTTCCCTGGTAATGAGATCGGTTTGCACTAACTCTCGCTTTCGTTAGAGTGCTTCGGAAGATGATGTACTAATTTCATGTACATAATCGTTTACGCACTATCTTATAATGCCACCAACACACTGCGGAGACCAAAAACTCGGCGTGGTGATTCCTAAGAATATATTTTAGATAAGACACGGCTAGTCTTCCTTTTTTTTCCCATTATAAATACAAAAACAATGATGATTCTTTCTATTGGGACTAAATGAAAATGAAAATTTCCCTTCCAAGCCACGAGAATCGTATCGAGTGATGAAATTATATTGCACATTTTTTGAATGAGATCAATTTAAAGTGGCATTTTCTTTTCTTGTTACATGTATTCATTTACCTATTTGCATTGTGTGTCTGTTAATTTACGGAGATTGCAAGGTTTTCTTAAGTGGGATCGTGTCAACGAGCAACAAAGTCGAGTGGTTGCTTAGGTGATTCTATATATATATTTTTTTTTAATGAAATTTAAGAACTGCCTCTCTGTCTCCCGCTCTCTTTGGGTTTACATTTTCAAGATCTTATCGAGAATGACCACGTCGTGTTCACGGTCTTTATATTGTGTTGTCGTGCTTGTTGTTTGGACCCTGAATTCGTAAACAGCACAGTCTGTCGTTTCGGATAAACAATCACGTTTACGATCGGTTAGTCTCAAGCGGTACGTCAAAGTGCTGAATTCTTGCGCGACCGGCGTTGGTTGTGGTGCCTTTTCAGGAGCAACGTGCAGAAGTGGCAGCTGTCAACAGTAAGTCACGCTATTGGTCGCTGAATGGCTATCGAGTAAGAGATTTCCGACTCGTGGTAATAATAAAACCAAGTGGCGTGTTTCCTGAAACCAGCTGTCGCCGTTGACTTTCTTTCTGAAGGGGTCAAACGAGATGTCGCGATCTAAGGTCGTCGTCTTTGATTGACCTAACTTGCCGATTCTGCGACAGACTGTTGCTCTGATACCTAACAAACTTTAATGTAGTGTAGGCTAGACAACTTCATAGTACAAACTATCGTCAGCTTGACAAACGATCCTTTCAATCTCCAAGTTTAGTCGATGTAATTCTTATTAATAAATTCAACTCTCGAAAGTGGAATGAAGTTTAAATCCGTCGACGTGTTCATTTAATTATAGCAATGGAATTTAAAACAGTGTGCTTTTTACGATATCTCTCTGCGATTACTTGCCTATTGGATCATTTGCCAAGAGCGGATTAATTAGATAAATTGGTAATTTTAGTGGTTTTTCCTTAGGCGCACCTGAGTAAGAGAAATTAAACGTTTTTTGCTCAGTTAAGGATGTTTTGTATGGATGAAAGCAGAAAGGTGTATTTATTTTCTAACGAAGTTGCAGAGCTTCATTCCAGATATCAGATTATTAACAATAAATTGTTTGTACTATGGATGTTTACCTAACACTAGTGTAACGTTCAGAGTCGGTTTCGTTGAGATGACTTTATCGGTGTTTTCTTGTTCCGGTGTAAATGAATTTTGTTTACTCAATTCAAGCCTTCGTTTGCATAGTGGAGATTATGGCAAAAGTATTGAAAATAGGCCCACTATGTAGACGAAAGCAACATCCCCTTTGGTTTTACCCCGGTATTGGGGAATAGGCTCCTGGCTCGGCGGTCGAAAGTCGAGACAGTCGTTAAAGATCAACTTCCTTGCAACGAATGCTTTGGAACGAGAAGTATAAACAGGTACGAAATGTCAAAATTGGACGATACCATTGCCGAAAAAGTACGTGCCTCAGTTATTCCACTATTATTACTGCGAATTACCCGCGTTCACTTTTCGCCTTAATTCCAAGGCGAGAAGGAGAAAAATCGCAAAGTTAGGAGCCTCCCGCTTAAGGGTACGGATTTTTGCCAACTCCGTGAATCGGTTCTTCAACGCGCGAACGAGTAACCCGTTCTTAAAAACAGCCCGCAATTTACTCTCGCGCTTACCCCTCGTGACTAAGACCATCGGCCGACGAAAACCCCATCGTTCCTTGGGAACGTCCAACGTTCCCGCAGAGCGAAGGCGTTCTCTTGGCCGGTCTCGGGGCAGCGAAAAGTGCGAGGATAAATTGCGAAGACCCCCGCCCCGTCCCCCTAGTCTAGCTCAGAGCGATGCCTAACCGAAGCAACAATCAACATATATTGTTTTCTTTCTTGTCCACGCCAGGGACAATGACTTAACGCCTCTCGAGGGTGGTCAGCTTTCCAACAGCAAAGTGTGCTCGGGACACTCTAGTAACCGTTGTGCGAATAATAGTAATAACAACAACAACAATAACCATACGGGTGGTAACAACAACAACAACCTGACGAACAACAACAATAATAACAACCACAACAATAATAATAACGTGGGCGGGCCGCTGATGTCGGTGGGGCACCTGAACGGGCAAGTGAGTGGTATCAGTGCTCGGGGGCTGGCGGGGACCGGCTCGGGGAACGCCCTGGGTTTCGGGGCTGCGAACGACTCCTGTAACCCCCTGACCTCGCTGGCCTCCTCGGGTAATCCGTTCAACCACTTCTCCGGGAGCATGGACTTGGAGTTCGAGCTTTTCCCGAGCTCCACCTGGGACCTGGACAACGGCTCCGGCTGGGTCGACCGGCCGGACTCGAGGGCCAGCCAAGCCCCGAGCTCGAGGCCCTCCTCGCAACCGACCCCGGCCTCGCCCTCGCCCTCGACCTCGGGGGCGCCTTTCTCCTCGGCCCAGCCGACGACCGCTGCCCACTGCAGCCCCCTGCGGCCGACCTCGGCCTCGACCTCGACCTCCGCCGCGGCCTCGACCTCGGCCACGGCCTCTTTCAGCCCGACTTCGGTCGCCGGCGCCCAGCACGCCTTCAGTAATTCGTTCCCCTTCAGTCCGCTTCAGGAATCCCAGTCGGGCCTGGCCGCCGCCCCGACGTCGGCCAACGTCAGCGTCAACGTCAGCGTCAACCTCACCGAGAAGGGGAACGCCCGCCTCGAGGATGCCGCCGCCGCCAAGGGCTGCGCCGCCTCCTCCTCCTCGTCCTCCTCGTCGTCGTCGGTGGGCTCTGCGGGCTCCTCCACCCTGGACCCTGCTTCCGGGGGTGTCTCCCAGCAGAACCAGTCGGCCGGGGGGCAGCCCTCCTCCGGGCCCGAGGGCAATCAGCTCGGCTCGGGCGTCGCCGCGGAGTCCGGCAGGCTCAGGAACCTCTTGACCAAGGGCTCCAGTATCTCCGATGACCCCCAGGATCATCCCAGCAACGACCCCGAGAACCAAAAGCATCGAATACTCAAGATCCTCCTCAACCAGCAGGACGACGATGACTATCATACCGATCATGGCGCCAAGGTGCGCAGTAGTCCTGGCGGTGCCCCCAAGAGCCAAGAACATCCCAAGTCCTCGCTCGGGAACAACATGCTCTTGCAGGTATCGATGCAGGTCTATGGAGTGGGATCGGGGTCATAGTCGTAGAATGTGGCAAAAAGATTCATCATTATATTTGTCGTCACGCATAGTCTTGTCTGTAGGTCTTTATCCATAGATATGTTAATTCTTCGGGTTCATGTATTTAATGTCATTAACTTCACTTTAAGCTACTAAACGAGAAGAACGATGACGAGGACGAAGAAACGCGCGTCGGCTTGAAGAGGAGAAACGAGCTTCTTCAACAGCTGTTGAAGGACCACGACGACGATAGGAAGCTCCTAGATCAGCATGTATGATATTTTTAGATACATTATACATCGCATAAAATATAAGCCGATGGTAAATTCCGAACGGAGGAAATTGTAACTTTGTGTTTATTTGCATTTTCAGAATCGCGACGACGACCCTCTTCTAAGGAGCCTTGGGTTTCGAAATACGACGCCGTCTCCGTCTCAGTCTGCCGACCACGTCGGAATATCATCCGGCCCTACCCAGGTTGGCCAGAAAAGGCCGGGCGAGGATGGTGACATGAACGTCGCCGTTAAACGACCCATGGACGGATCTCATCAAGTCTCTTCGTCGGGGGCTAATGCCTCGAACAATGCGACGAGCAAGCTCTGGGAGAAGAACAAGATGTTAGCGTCTCTCCTGGCGAAGCAGCCATCGCAACCGGCGACTATCCCACCAATTCCTGCATCTGTGATATCAGCAACCCCACAGGTGCGCATTGAAAGCTCTGCTACGAGAGTTTCACCATTTCTGACATCTCGTACTCATTTACTTAGATACGTGGCTTAGTCCGCTATTAATACAGTCATTTCTATTTAGGATAAGTTGCCTCGCGTAAGCGATCGTTTAAAGCAACAACAGCAACAGCAACAGCAGCAGCAGCATCAGCAACAACAACAGGAGCAGCAGCAGCAGCAGCAGCAGCAGCAGCAACAGCAACAGCAGCCATGGTCCTCTGCCAGTATGCAGATGGGCAGCAACACAACGACGACGACGGCGACGTCAGCCCGTACTCCTCTCCAAAACCAATCCAGACAACTACCTCGCCAAGCAACCAATATCTACCTCAGTCACATACTAAGTCAAGTACGTTGTCTGCTTCTTGGTATATTTATGATGCTAGAAGACGAGTTATACCAAAGACAACTAGTTCTATTCTATGTATGCTTTCTATCTCAATTGAGAGATATCGGGAAACTCGTAACGATCATGATGAAGTAATTGCAAGCGGTAGGATGTTATGTATGAATTCCCAGAGGAGTCGAAGTTTTACGCATGCGTCATACGACATGATTATTAATTCATCCCGTACATTGTAGCAGCAAAGGTCTCAACTGGGACAAATGGATACAGAGTTCGGGGGAAGCGGAGAATATCGCCAACCAGGCACTGATCCAGGAAGCTGGGACAACCAGTCGTCGGATCCGGATCTTTCAGATATCTTGGATCAGGTCATCGAAATAGTACCAGATGAAGCTATCACGGGTAATTGTCTTACATAACGCGAGTGATATTATTTTAATAGTGCTTGCCTTGCGCAATTCATTTAAACTTTCGGGAGACCTTTGATTTTGCCTCATCGTTCTTGCATTTAAATCTTGCAGTGGAATTTTTACGCTTACTAAATGTACCCGTAACCGCTACACGGTTTATTATTCCTGTTTTTGGAATTTCTTGTTTCACCGAGAATCATGATTAAAAGATTCGCGGTTAATGTCGTTACGTTCTTTAACGCTCTTTTTTGACAAGTCTATGCATATAGCGAGCTTGCTCGGAGCTTAGAGAATGGCACTGTAATACCTCGATGTTATAATGAAAGTGTGACATTTTTCTGTTAATTAGATTCGTCTGCGATAGTGAATCTGCTAGACGTAATTGAAGCGCCGCAAAACAACGTCTTAAATGAAAAGATGGCTATTAATGCGATTCAAAAGTCGTTGATGCTTTGCGAGACTGTCGTTAATCCTACGTCTTCCACCATAACCATACCCGGCACACCTCCGGCATACTCCACAGCGGTAAGTTGACGTCGGAATTCATTATTTTTCCTTTGTTTTGGTATATCTTAGTTATCATTTTTGATTTCGTTAATACTTAAAGAGGGCTCGTATAAATACATGAATGTTTCTTTTCCCAATAGTTAGGGACGACGCCGGTGACGACGAGTCATAATTACCAACCACCACCGATGTATCAGCAACAACCGAGGGTTAGATTTAATGCTCAGCCTGGGATCAGGCAAGCTGTTGCACAATTTACGCAGCAGCAACAGTTACAGTTGCAGCAACGTAGTAAAATGATACAACAGCAGCAAATGAAACAGAGATTACTGCAACAGCAGCAACAGCAGCAGTTGCTAATACCTTCCAACGCAACAGCGACGGACCAAATTACTACCGGCATACATAATATTGACAGCCTCTTGAACAACACCGTTGCACCCAACGTCTCGTTACAGGTACACGTTCTGGAGCATTGACTTTGTCAGCGGCAATAGCTTTCTCATTCATGTTTACGTTCTCGCCCGTGTCAACACATTTATCGGTCATCGGTCTGATGCAACAACACGAGGAAAGTTAATTATAGTTGCACTTCGCACACGCTGTTTGCCGAGCTAATATCTTCGCAAGCACAGCTTCGCAAGTTCATGTATTATGTCTTTAGCGGTCGGTTGAATTTTTATCGCGTAACGGTAGTAGATGTAACCGATAGTAGCGACATTGATCTTGACTGCGGAAAGTAAGGAGTTTCCTGGAACTCGAAGCGTTTTCCATGTCATCGAGGAAGCAGGCAATTTAATTAGGAAGCGTTTGATGTTTTTGATGACTATTTTGTGACGGTTTCAGCGATCGAGCGTTCCGGATTCTCAAGTGTCCCCTGGTTATGGGGCATCCGTCCAATTGCCTTCGGGACATCGCCTCGGTCACTCGTATTCTCATCCTTCAACGTTACCTCAGCAGTGAGTAATGAATATTGAATTTATTAAATACATACTATAAATGAGAAGCTATGCAATAGACTCAGCCTAATTCTTGTAATGGGAACTTGGGTATAATTAATCTCAACGTTTAATCACTTTTGAGATACTAAGTTAACGTTCAATATTCGCCTTAACGGTAGTATTTATTTCAGCTCTGTCGTTAATAATAACTTTAACAGCGGTCAACAAGTATCCGCTACCTCGAGGCTTTCGCCGCATTCTCCAGCGGGGATTATGTCATTCTCGCATCCGCATCCGCAACCTCTGTCACCTCGTGTCTCCCAGGTTGGTTTACTAGGGATCTCCAAAATCCGCTTCTGGATTAACTTGGATGAACATCCATAACACGGTGCGACGTCCTTTCTCCAGGGTAATTACAGTAGTAGTCCGAGGATGTTCAATGTCAGTCAGCAAGCTAGGCCGCCTCAGCAGCAGGCGGCTCAGCAGCAAGCGGCTCAGCAACAGCGATCAATGCCGTCCCCAGGAACTCCGGCATCGGCACGACAGTCTCCGTTTCCAGCCGAAGCTTTTCCTCCACCCGCCTTGCCCACTGCCAGTCAATTTCCACCAGTCCCGAACCCCACGGCCGCAAATCCGACCGGTCAGTATCGGCTGCAACGAACCAATTCGACTCCGTCAGCCACCACGCAGCTGCCAGGTAATTGCACCTATTCTTGACATCATTTCACCGTCAAAGAAAGATAAAGTTTTCTACACCTTTCTTTTTGTTAACCCGAAATCCGTTGTGCCACCGAGAAGCCGTTCCCGTCAGGGCGTTTTAATCGCGAATGAGCCTAACAACAAATACCGGGAATTTATTTTTGTCTTATTTACGATCTGCCGTGTTGTATGGCTTGTCACGCGACCCTCGTGTTATGCGAACAGTGAATTCGACTTTCGTTGGGGAAACAGAACGTCTAAGTCTTAAAGGTAGATGAGATTGATTGTTGATCGTGATAATCTCAATGAGCTTTTGGCAATGCGGGTAAGTATGTATTCCATTAATCGTTTTAAATCCGTCATGTGAATGCCGGTGAGGTAGTGCTTGGAGTAGTGGGAATTGTAAGATCTTATCGAGGAACGTTCGAGCGGTGGTTAGAAAAGCATAGACCAGTATTATTCGTTGTAGTGTTGCTGTAGTCTAAATCACTGTCTGTAGATACGATTTCTAAAGAGTTTGTAATTCGGGATTGGTAGACACTTACTACATATCCGTTGTATTCGTTAAAGTTTTTAATATGTTACTTGTTAGAAAATGAAACATCTCCCTAGGACTGTATCTTCACTAATTTGTTTTTCCGTTTTTCAACCTTGGCGTACGAACTCGGTTTAATATTTGACCGGTCTTAAATCTTGTTAATTATTTCGAAGTTCTCAAACCTTTAGGTGATACATAGTTTTTTCTTTTGTTTATATGTATTATCAATTATCATTTATCTTAACATCGTATTATCAATTGAATTTATAAGCAACCCGACTTTTCATGCAGCTTGAAATTCTCTTTTCAGTACCAGATCTTTTTTTTTTGGTTAATATAAATTGGTACATTTAGTGCATATGTACTTTTTGTTTTTACACTTCTGTGTGCATGGGACCTCGACGGTCTGCCTTGTTTACTCGTTTCATTTTCTTTAGTGATTAATGTGACTGAAAAAATAGTACATGTACAGGATGCCCAGAGATTGTCGAAGCCTCCTAAAATGTGTAGAGTTTCGAAAAATTGTATAAAAGCTGAAGCTTCCAGATGTGGACAATCGGATTCCCGTCCTTGTATGTAAATCGGTAGGAAACTGCGAGGCGTCTAGACAAAGATAACATCGCTGCTTCCTCGGGAAGTCAGGCATCGCGCGGAGTGTACCATTTTCTATCTTTGGCATGACAACTCGGTCGAACTCGTTCGGCCGAGGTGATTTCGTCGTCGCTCGAGTAGAAGTGCTTCGACGGACAGGAGTTCCACTTGGTGACGGGTTAACGGCACCGAGGTAGATTTGATTCGTGTTGCAGGTGGGGTTGGTTCGCCCCGGCACTACGGTGGAGTCAATAAGGAACAACCTCTCCTATCACCTAGTCATCCTCACTCTGGTTGCGCGGTGCCGTCGAGTCATAATCAACACAACGCAACCAACACCCAACACTTCTCCAACCAACAACACTCTTCTATGATATATCATACAACTGCCAACTCTATCAGCTCAGCAGACGTATCGAACAATCAGTACTGTTACGATCGGACGTCTGTTCCGCTGTATCCTTCGGGGCCTGGGGAAGCGCAGAATGCCAGGTCTCTGCCTCCCAATAATCCCGCTGCTCACCAAATCGGTGGTAAGTCATGTGACCTCTTAATGTCATGTGACCATCACAACATACATCGCCATCTCGACTACACCCCACGTCAGCCCTTTGTCCATCTGTAACCACCGAAAGGCATTTTCAGCTAATGCTTCAGTCACCAGACATCGATCATCTCGGTGTGGTCTGGCCGACAGACCTCTCGAAGGATCTTGCAAATTGTACAGACTCGAGGCTTTCTTTGGGAGCTTGAAGCCAATTTTTCCGTCTACGTCGTCTTCCAAAATGATGGATATAGCTTGGGCTCTTGGGAACGGGAAAGGGATTTGTAGAATTGCAAAGTGGCATAGGTAATTACGCGTCATCTCAATAAACGAAATGTCGACTTATTCGTTGCATAAATCTACCCTAGGGTCATTTCCGTTTTGTGATGAAATCAATATCAAGACATCGGTATTCTTGAATCTATTGTTAGGAAATGCCAATCTGTTTGGAAGGAATGTTCTAATTGATCCGAATGTAAAAGTGGGTACAAAAGTTGAGAAAGATATTACCTATTCACTCCTGGGAATGAAACAAATTTTATCAGTAATATAAGCAGATAATATTCTGTGCTTTGAATGTTGGGTCTGTGCATTTTCTATGTACACATTTCCGTAAACTGGAAAACATCGTCGAAAGCCATAAAAAATGTAATGATCTTCGTTGCACTTGGAAAGCTTATACTTAATTTGATGTTAGATTATTTTTTTGTTAATTTATTTTTGACTGATAATTGTACATGTTACGGGCAGAGATTATCAGCTTCTTTGCTGTTTACTGTTAAGAAGTACTTGTAACGGTCAAAATTGGCTTCTCGTTCTTATGCAGGTCCGTTATTCTAGTATATTATAATTTCTTGGTGACATCGTGACGGTAACTTCAGTAAGTCTTCGATATTTCGAGATGAATTGCAGTATGGATCTAAGGGGTACAAGGGAAGTCATCCTACGTCAACGGTACTCATCATCCCTTGTGTATCTCTCACCGTTCGACCACATCGTTGCAATTTAACCAAGAAAAACCACCACAAGTGTAACGGCATCTCTGGTGGAAAAATAGAGTTAGATGTTGCATGGCGCTTCATTCACAATTTTAGCACCAACACGTGTGACTATGTCCATTGGATGCATACCTTGCATTCCGTACTAATCATTATTTTAGCAGGGTCGAGAGTAACGTAAAGATTCTACTCGCGATCTTGTTTACTTTATTTAATCATCTTTTTTCTTGATATCGTCCATTTCACTGTAATATACCGTTTAAATGTTGAGGGTCAGTTATGAGTTATATTATTCTATTACAGCGATTTAACCAGATTGGGTACAAATGTTTAGAATTTCATCAGGGAAGTGTTAGATAAAAATTTGTACAGATCAAAATTGTTATTTTTGTTGTACGGAATAATTTTGTCGCTTTTTAAATTCGTAGCAATCCGTCGTCACGGATAGATGTTACTTTACCATTGGGTTTTTCTTTTATTTTTATAAGAACAATACTGGTAAATTATAAAATGTAATATTAGTCAACGACTAGACACTTGTATTCTTTACGCTGCTCTCGTCGATGTCTTGCGGTACGTTTCTAGCACAATGTAAATAACAATGTACCGATACCTGTAAAAGGTGTCCGTCTTCTCATCTCTCCCGAAGGTGCGTCGTATCATTCGATGGAATCCCGTCGGCTCGAGGCGGGATTTCTCAAAGCCTGCTAAATCGAAAGGGAATATCAAAGCTATCGAGGATTGCATTTCTGCCGAGGCGACGACTCACGAGAAGTCCCTCGGACAGGATCGTATCCCTCATTGTAATTTAGAGACGTACTCGATGTGTCGTGGTGCACGATTCTCTGTTCCGGATATGGGAGCATGCACCATGTGGGAACTGCTACTCTTGTCCAAAATGTCACGTCTATGGATGATGTGTCGGTGGAATATTGACATACCTATACGTGAGGCCATTACGTTCGCTCCTTTTGCACGGAGGTACATTCGTGAGCGAATTGTATTCGGGATTCAGGAAAAGAATTCAGAAGTTCCATAGAAGCCCAGATCCTATGTTAGCGCTTGATGCTTTAAAAGTTGGCCAACAAACCAGCAATGGGGGTAAAAGAGAGATCCAATGTGTTAGCCAACGACATCTCACATACGGGAGGAAGAGAGACACATATAGAAAGGCGAGTGTTGGGGGGAAGATAAAGAAAGAATGCAATTCGCTATATATTGCCATAAGATTAAGAGAGATGGAGAGACGATTATAGCGTCGCCATCCGTTGGCTAACGTACTATTTATCGAGCATCGAACGTCCGTATCCTTTTGGGCTTCTATGGAGACTTCTGAATTCTTTGATTCAGGACATCCAGCGTGTACATTTCGGCCGCATTTTGAAGTAAGGTTAAGCCGAAGTCGGTGAAATTGTCGAGTGTCGTTTAACACCTGTTCCCTTCCCAGCCATCTTGTCGCGATGCACAAATGTCCGCGATGCACAAGAACCATTATTTCGCTGAAAAAAAAAAAGAAGACAGAGATACGGACGAAGTGACTCCCAGATGTGTTTACGCTTTGTCATTCATCTTCCTCACCGTCATTTCGATGTTCATTTACGTATTGTAATATTAATGTAAAAAGTGATATACGTGGATACCGGCTTGTGTTGTTAAGAGAAAAGTGGAAATGTCACGTGCATCCAACTATGAAGGATTATTATTATTTTTTTTCTACGTAGCTGAGTCACATACGTGGAAGGAAAGGGTACATCTACATTTTTGAGATGGATAGGGATTGACGGAACCTGGAATTTGACATTTCCATTCTTCTAATAATGCAGAGTAACTAATCGGAGGATAGTACTGTTTAAGATGGTATACCGGGGGGAACTTGATCGATTTTTTTTAAAATCCTTCTCACTTCGCAAAATACTAATTTCTGAATGCGCGTTTGAGATCGTGAATCTTTTTTTTAATTGGAAATACATTTCTCTGGTACGTTTACCCTAGTTGCTATTTCCCCGGTAGACCATGCCCAAAAGCGCGTCACCTATTTCTCGCAAATTTAGAGTTTCTCGATTTCTTTTCGAGTCTTCGTAGGTTATCCCATTTTATGCACTGCTAATAATTTCGAATAAATGATAGTAAAGTAAAGCGCAGAGAAAAAAAGTCGGTCGCACCCGCGGTCTCAGAGGCAAACTTCTAGTCCCATTCGACAGTTTGCTAGGTGTAAAGTTAGTGGTTGTAAATGTGTTTGGCTTGTAATAAAAATACGCACCTCCTCCTTTCCGTCTGTCTCTTTCTCTTTCTCTCGATAGCACTTTTAGTACCGAATCGTACAAATGTCCGCGAGATTTTGTATATTTTAAGTAGGTCTCCATTACATTTTCGCGAGTATATTACACGGTACCGCAATTCTCGGTCTTTTTGTCTTTTTAATTTTTTTTTTATGCATAGGAATCGGAAAAGTTAAGGAATGTATTATATATTTCTTGCAATTAAGGTGAATTTTGTTTTAAGGTGTGTAAATAATTGTTGCTTGATTTTCGATTTGATTTTTGATCGGCAGGAAACACGAGTAGCAGTGGCAACATGACGTCGGAGTTTGTGCGACAAGAACTGAGGGCCATTGTTGGTGCGAGAACGCAGCAACAACAACAGAGGGTTCCGAACAATATCCCGAATAACCTTTCCGGACAAGTTTCTCAGGACGATCTGGAGGCTCTTGGTTTGACGTTTGAAATTCCACCTTCAGGTGAGCTCAATCGTGCCTTATGCTTAGAATCCATTTAACTAATACCGATCGATACTCAATGTGACAATTCGGGACATGTTTTCGAATGACATTATCATTAATACAGGTATATTATCACTTCTGGTGTCGGTTTGAATTAAACGATAATTCTTACTTCCAATGGTAATTACTGTATATGAATCAGAGTACTTAATGATAAAATCTGAACGACATGCTTAGGACTGATTCTGTTAGCAGAGGGAAAAGATGAGAAGTGAATACGTGTAATTTCTTATATAATTACAATCGCATGAAATTTTAAATGAGAGTAACATGAGAATGTTTCTGGAAATGAGAGAGCAAATTATAGTCTCATTATTCATTAGAAATATTATATGTCAATTTTAATTCTACTTTTGATGCATTTTAGAATTTTTGCTTATTTCGTTTTGAAGGAATAATTATATGACTAAGTTTCGGATTACTTATTCTCTCATGTAGGTGGCAGCTCCTGTTTTTTCGTATCACTTTGTTACGATTGAATAGCACGATGGCTCATTTTTGAACTTTAGTTGACGGAATTAGTTATTTTTCCAGTTTGGTTACAACCTATTTAAGGAAACTGTTTTATCACCGCATTCTTTTGTGAGACTTCGTCTTATAGACAGTTTCTCAACATTCTCTGTAAATCATGTTGTTGTAAGTGTGTCTTTTATATAGTTTACCTGGTTCTGTATACCCAATGAGAACACTAAAGAACGTAAATGTAAAGAGAAGTAAGTGACAACTAATGTTGCATTCTTGATCAAACTGACCAGACGTATTTAAGTTTCGATTGTCATTTGCACTCTTTGCATTTTCAATCACTATAATTGGGATTCATTCTGACATCACGAAGAAAAAACTAAACATCCATGTCCAATATTGCTACGTATAAAAATAGAAAAATGAAACTTTCTTACAGACGAGATATTTATTAATATCCGTGATAGACACAGACCAGACAATCGGTATCAGTTTGATAAAACGTAGATTTACCGAATTTAATTATTCATTTATTTTATATAACACGTTTATTCTCTATCGAGAAAGGATATTTTCAACGTGCTAAAACAGTCAAGAAACTTCGTAATCTGATTTCTTATTTTTCATGCACTCGCGATCATTTTTCTTCCCCCTTTTTTTTTACACTTTTGTAATATTAATATGCTAGAGTTTGGAAGATGTTACATGCTGCGGAAAAGTATTACGGGAGATAACATAAAACAGTTAAGAAGCCATTAGCGAGATACGAAAGTGTGCGTAAAACTTTGAAGTTTATACCTTGTCAAATTAAATTTCATATTTCAGCCATACTTTTGACTTAGTTGGGCAATTTCATGAATTTCTTATGCGTGATACATTGTTGTCGCGCCTAGTGAATGATTACTTATTCGAGGCAGGCATTTCGATTACATTTCCCTGTACATATTTTCATCGTCTGGGCTACTTTTAATCATTCTTTGTCAATATTTTGCGGGTCGCTCTCGGCATTTGTGTAGGTTTGCATTTTCGATTCCTTTCCGTTTGCAAGCTAAACCCTTTGAATCAGGTGCAACTGAAATCATGAAGAAAGTTTCATTTTCGGTTTTCGAGCGATTTTTAGATACGTATATTTTTGTGTATTACAGAATAGAAAGGATATTTAAATTAATAAAATTTTAATAAAAATGAAAGACAATAATGTTGTGCAGCTAATTTCGTCTTGTATAAATCCAGTGTAATTCAGTGCGCCAAATTTATTTGATAAATAAATTTCAGATTGAAAATCGCTCGAGTAAACGAAACGAAAACTTTTCATGTAACAATGGGTTTTGTTCCAATATGAAGTCAGATGACACTTAATGGTCGATAGTTTACCCCTTTAGTGCTGTAAATATTGCTACATCACTGTTATTAAAAATCAGTCCTCTTTCTCTTCCTGTATGGAACGAGTTTCATCAACTTATTCTCGTCTCATGCTCCGTTTTAAAACGTAGTTATCAATTTTGTCCATAAAAAGTGACAGAAGATTCGCTGAGTTTGAATTTATAAATTTTATTATTATCAGCTATAGACAATAATTAATATCGGTTCATATGATCATATCGAATAATTTGGGTCAATTTAGTTTTACTGCCGTGTACATTTATTTTTCACTCGGGAAGCAATATCATAATTAACTATACGTTAATATTTCATAATACTGACATTTAGGAGAAATCCTTTTTACCCAACATTGCACTAACGACTCTCTTTCTTAAGACCGACCAACGATGGGTTAGTGGCATTTGCAACTTGTACATACACATCGAGTGTCATCATTTTCGAACTTATACACGGATCTAATTCTAAAACCTAATCATCGCATTTACAACTAAGGCCCCGAAGTCCCGGCACGAAGATTCGTTTTTACATTCATCCCAAAAAGGTACAGCGATTCCCTCAAAAAAAGTCAAAGATGGGCTCCGCGATCTTCGTTTGTCGTATTCTCGCATTTACACGCTTGAATCTACCTACAAAAGCGAACTACGTCACCCGCAGAGTCGATACTAAAATACAGGAACAAAGAGTTTCTCTTTTTTGACAATTCAATTTCAAGAGAATCGTATAAAACGTAACGCCGAATTTGTTCTGACGGTTAAACAAAGTGAAAGAAATATTCTTAGATGTTGCGACGGCTCATTTCATAACTTTGCTGAAACACAATTACACATTTTCTTGTACTATTGATTCGAGTAAATGACTGATAGCGGCCATGAATTTGTCTGAGCCGTTATCGCGTCTCTTGATACGTCGATTGATTCGCTATCGCTGACATCGAGACGGCTCGATGGAATGAACGAACTAAACAAGGGGAAGGGGAATAATAATCGTACGAAGAGAGATAAAAAAAAGGTCCAAGGCAATGCAAAACTGGTAACACGTGTCGTTACAATCTCCCCTATAGGTGAGGCTGTGGTTAGCGATGGCCCCGCAAAGAGCTGGGCCATTGGGAGTGCCGGAAGCGCCCCCTCTTCCTCCAGGGTAAGACCCCTCCGACAATTACTTTTACGTATTTTGATTTTATAATGCTCTCTCTCTCTATATATATATATATCTATCTATTACCTATTTTCGCTTGGCTTAAGAACTTACTCTCTGTGCACGACAAAACACGTTAATCACTATTCTATGCGACGTACCGAGCGCAAGACTTGTTGCCGCTGTTTTTTGCGAGTCTCACTATTTCTCCTCTCCTTCTTTCTCGCATATTCTCCCTTCAAGCGGTTCTGGATCCGTTGACGTCTCTTCGGAAGGGATTCTTACGGTTTCTGGCGAAAGTTTGCCGAAAACGCGAAAACTCGTCCCGTAGAAAAGATTTATCCCTACGGAAGATTCGATAGGACCTCGTGGAGAAATTTCCATATTAAAGGAAAATCAGGTTGTTAGAGTTCTTGTATAGGCAAATCCTCGTTAAGGGGGAGCTGGTAGAGAGGTTCCTTTTTTCTTTTTTTCTTTTTTTTCATTGAGCAGAATTGATTGATTCGGGCGGAGAGGCCTTTTTTCAGGTGAGCAGGGGCGGAGGCTAACAGCTGATCGCTTCCTCTTCAACTAAGAATTGAATGGGTTTTTAATTGGGTTCTACAGTTTGGGGCTTCTTTTTATCGTGATCTTCAGTCGTGAAGAAAATGATGGGTGAATAGGGGATTAAAGCTCACGGAGGATGTCTGGGTGTATGTTTTTTAATTCGGATGGTATTACTTTGTTACTATTCGTTGAATACTTGCGATCTCAGACACAGGGTCATGCTAACGGTTATGACACTTTATTGTACCTTAGTGGTATGAATGTTATAAAATCCGTCAAATCAGTACACACTTCATTTCAGTTAAAATTGTCAAAATATTATGTATATTTTCATAATGCCGCGACGCCTAACGTAATGAGTTATATTTCCTGCTGCAATTTAGAACAATTTCTTAAGAGAAATCACTATATTTGCGGCACGACTTTTTACTTTCAAGAAATTTGTATTTCTTACTTAAAAAAAAATGTGCAGAAATTTTGGCTATACAGTGTAATTCCTCGAAGTATCTTAGAAGAACATTATTTATGAATCTGCATATCTGTATGAAGCTTCTTTTAAATGAAGTATGAACTAATGCGGAAAGTGTGAATTGTTAATATCGCTATTCCCTGAATGAATAAGAGGTTAGAGATTAGAAATCTCATTCGTCGAACTTTTGGAAGTTAAGTTAAAATAGAAAAAGCAATGCCGTAATTAAAGAAGAAAACGCTCAAATGATTGGCTTTTCATTTTTGTTTTGTGCTTTATGTTCTGTTTCCTATTGCTGTAGCCGTGTCTTAAAAACTCACAATGGTGCGTAGTTAATGCCAATCACGATAGTTTTGAGCAAGTTTCAGAACTTACAGTTCTGTTTTGAAAACGTGTATTTCAATATTCTTCAGGAATAATTCCTGCTATTAAAAATATCGCTTCAATGAATGCCTCATGAGCTGTATATGTGTGTGTGTATCTTTTCATTGTTCAATTGTGTAGTAATGAATTTCTCAATTTGATTAAGTTTTCAATAATTTTTGCGAGTTTTATTCTTGACGCTAGGTAGTTGAAAAATTCGATAAAAGAATTATTTAATTTTCTTCGGATTTTTTTTTCCATCCCGCTGGTGGTTCAGGAGATAACTAATTTTGAGTCGTAATACTTGCACTCACCGTGTGACACTCGTATTTATATGACACTCATTTTAGACTAGCTGCTATCAATGTGCTGTGTTTGCTCAGTTGCGGATGTATGAGACATGTCATTGGAATGATTAATGGATCAGCTGTATCAATTTTTGCCCTAGTTAGTATGGATTGCAGAAAGTGTGTCGCCTAAATGTGTCTGCGTCAAATTTCGATTTGCTGAAAAGAACACACTTTTTTACGTTTTAAAACCACGTGAAATAAACAGAAAGACTTGATTTGATTTTTTGACCTTTCGTTTCATGTATATGTGCAGCACTTACGATTCTTTACGTTATTTTCTAAGCGAGATTAGTCATAGTTTATAAAAACTTGATTGGCAATTTTTTACTTTGCTTTAAACAGTGCGGACTGTCAAATTACTAGTAAATTACGGAGGACTTCGATTACATGACTGCGTTACTTGGTACTGTCTTTACTTACGTTACTTGGTACTGTCGTTTACTCATTAGCACATGTTGCTATCAATATCGAACATTATTATTTGCACTTAGAAGGTAACAGCTTAGTACATTAAATTACTTAAGCGCTACACTTGGGTATTAAACCACTTTCTTTTTAATTTATACAGCGGTTGCGTTGTGTGCGTGCAAAACATAAATTCGAAGTTTACGTCCCTTCTTTCTGTTTTTTTTTTTTGCAACTCTCTTGTTTCGACATTAGCATTTGCTTAAAATGCATTGAGATAACAATGCAGGCTGCTGCGTCTCCCGTACTTCTGTTTTTATTTTCTTTCTCGTCGGAATTTATTACGGGGCGATTCTGCGGCGTAACGCGAGAAACGCAGTTCCCTTTGTTATGTTAATCTTGCTTACAAAGGATAACTTGTTTCCTCCCAAGAAAAAAAGAAAGAACACTCGGAAATTGTGATAAAATTTGACTTCCCATTCGAATGTTTGCATTTAACTAGCTGGAAGACTAACGAAAAGTCTCTCTGCTACAGTAAATTAATCAACCTATTCTGAAATATGAAGCCCAGCGTGAGTGTAATAGATTTTGAAGGATTCTTTTAGCCAATTTCTATTGTCCATGCAACAGTGCATTAAATAACACCCTGATGGTTTATCCTGTTATTTTAAATCTCAATTTTATTTATTTCTTTCCGTGAATATACGAGGAAAATGAATAGGGTAGGGAAGTGAATCCCTTTCGTTGGTTTTCCCAATTCCTCCAGCAATTAGAGTACATTGTGGGTGATGGCATCGAAAGCTTCTTAGCTCGTTCTTTCATTCTTTTCTTTTTTTTTTTTAATCCTTCGAGACATTTCAACAGGCGTAATGCTTTTTCACAGACGCGCTGCGAAGTGACCTTTGCGCTGTGTAATTTTCTTTGCAAGTGTAATTTTTCGCTGCCAATGCATGCGATAATTCTGCTCTACTTAGTTACTTGTTTTTCTTTGAAGTGGTGGTTTGAAGTTTGCGCAACTCGGCCCGAAGTGCGTTGGACTTCGTTGGGAAGTACATTCCTTCTTTTGCGGTACTAGGTGGACTTTGCAGTCTTTTTTGCATTTCGCCGAGATATATGCCTCGCATATTTTGCCGCTGGCACTTGTATCCTGTCACTCAAGCGAAGTAACAGCTTTTTTAAGTCGGAGCTTGCAAATTTAGAGCTGTAACTTGCGTGGGCGTGTAACTTTAGCCCTAGATGCGTGTACACGCGATTTTAGGCGATACTTAGACTTTCATCGGATGAAGTTTGCACGTTTAAAACATACAAGAAATACCTATTAATTAATTCCATGCTTATCATTGACTCAATGATACAAGTGTTTAATATTTATGAACAATTTGAAGTAATTTGTCAAGACTTCAAATAATTGGAGCTCTAATATACAATGTTACAAATTGTACTCCTCAAATAATGTTCAGTTGTTTTCTTTCTTTTTTTCCCATTACGTTTCTAGAAACTTTATGCGATGTGACGATGAATGAAGTCGGTTATCGCGAGTGCACGTATGTTGCATATTTTTCTACTAGGTGTAGTAATTCTTGGCCGATTTATATCGGCTTTAATTTGACTGCTTACTTATTTGCCACCACATATAACTAGCAGGTTTATTAACATTTAGAATTAACATGAAAATGTCTGGTTGCTATTACTCGATTTCGTTGAAGAATGTAACATCTTTACACTACATTGCGACTTCATAAAACTGCAATTAAGTGATGTTTACGCAGTAAAAAATCGTGATTTCGATCCTAACATTTTCTAGAAATACAAGAAAGGGATCAGTGTACGTTTTTCCCTGTAAATCTTAAACTTCTTTTGTGATAAAAAAAATCCCGAGGGAAGCAGCTTTCTCCGCAGTCTCATATGTCCCTTTGAAATTTCGTTGCAGCGAAGCTTGTCCAAAATCATTTTCTTGAAATACTCGAATCCATGCGTGAAATTCCATCGAGATGAAAACTCGCAGCACGGAGTGGGCGGAATGAAATATTTTTAGATCGGAAACTCTGCTAAAAAGCAAGCTATCTTTTAAATTTAATAACATCTTCTGCCGAGTAGATCAAGTAATCGTTTGGATTTCTTCGTTACTTCTATATTTAGTGACAGCATCAACATACATGCCTTAAGAACGTATTTTTATAAAAAGTTTTAAAAAATGTTATTTTAAAATTTACTGAATATCGGGATGTTTATGGACCGATCGCTCGAGAAAATGCAGAGCATGTTAGGGCTTTAATGTTCCGTAGTAGAAATTCCTTAGTGCACTTTAAGCCCGCCTTCTTCGTGGTGAGAGCAATGGTTGGTTTATGCCGCTTTTTAAATTTTAAATAGCCTTCGGACTAGAGGCGGTTGTTTATCTTGAAGAAGCTCGTTAAGCTCAAAGCGGGCTACCATCTTGTAGAGTCTTCGCTTGGTACGAGGACTAAATTAGGGTTTATAAGCGCTGCATAAAACTGCCGTATAAAGTGTGCCTTTTCATTAGCGGCGAATCGTATTGGCAGCTAGCAACAAAGAATCGCTATTAACCGTCTCTTAAACGCTCCATGTGCCAAAGAATAGACATTAGAGTATTTCTGCTGCTGAGTGTTTATAAAATGGTGCAATTGAAAGCCCGTTACGCGATCAACGATCCATGGATTCAAGATATGAGACATTTGATTTTTAACTTTTATTGTGGTTCCTTAAACGTCCCTTAAATCTTAGATTTCGACATTCGGTACAGTTTTTTTCTTTTTTTCCCGAAAAACTGAAGTCAGGTGTACCGTAAGAATCACTCATTTTACCGTAGTCAAAGAAATACCCATCTTTTCATATGACGTGGTTAACGTGCGTTGAAGTACACATATTAGATGCTTAATTGGTAAATTTTTTTATGCTTAAAATCGATCCAGTGACTTGAAATTTGAGGCGTACCGAGGAATCTCGTGAAATCTCACGGAAACCAATTATGATTTGCTCACCGATTAGCATTCGTAATTAAATAAATGGAGGCTTTATAATATGCGATATCGAAACGGAAAAGAGCGCAATTCAAACATGAAACAGAAAAATTGCACACGAAACTCCTGTATAAATGCAGGATATTAAATCGGGATGTTTGCCGAGAAGTTCATATAGATACGGACATAAATTATTTTCCCTCTTTAACGCGCCTTTTCCGATCACGATATCTCAATTTGTATTGATTCCACCCACAACCCCCTATGAATATTCTACCTTAAATCGATGCCACCGAAATTGGGATGCCCCAAATTCACCTTAGCCCAGTTTTTTTCAGTTGCTTCTAACTCTATATGCCGCGCTTTTAATGTATTTACTGTTTGCACGTCGCGTTTGGACGTTTGAGGAATCTCGGTCGAAGCTCTGACCTCGGTCTCGAAATTCTGGTGTTTGGACGCGTAACGAAAAAATGTCCCATTCAGCTTCCCGAGCTTCCCTCATCCTTTTCTTATCCAGAACTCGTAGAATGTAAATGGATGACTTATTTCAACTCGTGATGATTTCAGACTACTATGGAGGAAGTGGCGCGAGGTGATCCGAAGTCGTCGTTGCTGCAGAAGTTGCTGTCGGAGTGACTGCGGGCTGTGTGTCCCTCGTCGAGTGAAGTGCACGTAATGTCAGTCTGAAGCACCGTCGGTGAAGCATATATTTCGGGAAGTGAATCCCGCGTGGGCAGGGAAATGAAAAACGGGAGAGAAAACGCTCTTATACGTAAACGGATAAAAAACTACTGTATTATATGTAATACCACACGTGCGGCAGTTTGCAGAGATACGTACGCCAAATGCGGTACCAGCGGCTAAGCCTTGGTTCTCCAACCTTGCGAATTAATCCCAGGCTTCGCCGATGTGGAAACGGAGCTTGTAGAAAAGACCTGTAAATTCCCGAGCGAGTAAGCCGCCCAGATTTGCATATTTCTTGGGTCTTTAGGTCGCCGCCACGTCTCGGTTGTGATCGTTGCAATTGCGTCGCACGGAGGGAAGGTAAACGTTATCGGTATCAGGACTATTGCGGTAACGGTAACAGCAGTCACGCGTTGGGGCAGAAACAGTAGTTTTGCGAGGCTATGGTTATTATACAAGAAATGTTAAGTGTATTTTCGAATTAGACGTAGAGTGTTATGTATAGAATGGTTGTGGTTACGACGCTACGATTGTACGGTCGCCCAGGACACGGCACGACGTCCCCTGGTCGTACTTTTACACCGATACTTTTACCCCAGGACTTCGCATTTGCGGGTGTAGCTGTCGAAGGTGTGAAATTAATTAGAACCTATCTAATAAAATTTCGTAGTTATAACGTTTCAACCGCGATATATGGGTCGGCAAGAAATTCTAATTGCGTTTACGGTTGTCGCCATGATTATTACAGTTTTGTATACGAGGACGGGGAAGTAGGGCAGTATTTTTCGACGGAAAGTTACCGCTTAATAAGTTCTAAGAGACTTGGCGTGATTCTCGCTGACCATCTTCGATGATTGCTGTTACGATTGAATTAAGAGTTTGCTCCAATGGTTACCGCAATCTTGCTCTCCGTGCAGATATCAATATTTCGGTGCTACGTCGCTCTCGGAATGAGTTCGGAATCAAACAGAAGTAGGCATCCTCGAATTACGATGTTTGCGATGCGTTCTGTAAATTCTACGCACGAGTACTTTCGGTGCAATTTTCGTGCAAACGCCTGAGAGCGATTTCGAAATTAGTGAGACTTGAATTTTTCTCGCGTTTCGGAAGTAGATTACTCGTTTAGACGATTTTCGGTTTGTGCAATGACGGGGGAAAAACCGTAGACGCGGGAGCGGTTCGACTTTGTTGGCATTGGTAATCTTTGTTTCGGCTTTTCCACGAGATTTGGGAATCAGGGAAGATGCTAAAACTGCTCGTCGGGGACTTTCGAGTCCGAAACGAGGAAAGTTGGTACTGCGCTTGGCTTCACTGAAAGAAAGGAACTACGTAGGTACCTCAAAGGTATACTTTATTATACCACTGGCTGTTGAACATAGAACTATTTATAGTTTTAATTATTGTACACAGGTGAAGAAAATAGAGCACTATCACGTTTTTTTCTCTCTTAATTTAACATCTTTTTGACTATTATATTATAAATAATATATTTGTGATTGTAAGAATCTGCAACCAAAATGTGACAAAGAATACTTGTTGTTGTTAATATGATTATAACTATTATTATAATAACTATTATTATATTATTATTGACGTCGTCATTATTATTATTACCAATATTATTGTTATGATTACATTATTATTATTAATATTATGATAAGGATTATTTTATTATTATTTTATTATTATATTATATCGATATTATTGAACACTTGGCATATGCATATTTCTATTCGATAGTATCGGAACCTTTATATAAATATGAATATATATATATATATTTCACACACACATATATATATATACATGTACGTAAAAGAAGAAATCAGCCTTCTATTTTGCATAGCTCAGTAATTCTCTTTTCGGGTCTTAGATGCACACTAAATTACTTCTAAAACGACATTCGTTGTTATATAAATGAGAAGAACATTTAATTATATATATAAAAAAATGTGGTATATATATTCACATGTGTATGTGTATATATACGCGCATATGCAAGAAACCTCACGCAAGTGTCTTATTTTTCAGAGAATTTATTAGCAATCAGTGGTGGTCGACTAAAAGAAAACGAGTTATAACGGGTGATCGCGTTAAAATGGTGTCGATGAAATTATTTTTCGCTCGATTGGCGTCTTCTTTTGGTAGAATATAGAAGGCAGGAGGGATCGCGAGAAAAAGTGCACCTTGTATTTTACCCGCCAGCGTGGCGGCCGCCCTTCGTCCTCGGACATCAAAGGTTCAGGGCCCGATTTCTCGTCGGCGAGAGGCAATGAATATATGCTAGGATGTTTCTTTAGCGCTTTGTGATTAATCGTGAACACGAATAGTAAGAATTGTGATAGAACGAAAATTATTTTACGCGAAATGCGATGCGCGACGGTTTTGACCCTGAACGTGTTTTACCGGATTTTCGATTATTCAAGATGGCGGCCACGATGTATTTTACCGTGTTGTCCTATAATGCGGCTGTTTTTTCTTTGAGTAATCATTTGTTTTACCTTCCTCTTGTTTCTCTTTCTTTTTGTTTTTGTTTTTTAACGTTTTTTAGTCCGACTTTTATCATTTGATCAGCGAGCAATGCCGAGATTTTGCAGTGACGAGCCTGTATGGTAAATGTAGAGCGAATGTGCCGCGAACGCTAGTGAGCGATTCCAGGATATGTTGCGTTGCGACGTTTAGCTCCGAACCGTGTGATCTCGTGAATGGCGCATCGAAAAGGTTTCGAACCCCGATCGCTTCGGGCGATTTGGTCGGTTTCCTGTACAGCTTCTCGCCGGGTGTATCGTTATATTTCGAGAGTGTTTTGTTTGTCGGCGATTTTCTCTTCATAAGATTCGGGCATGTTGGCCGAGTCGCGACGCGGAGGCCACGAGGTCTTTTTCACTAGATTCAAAATAGATGCATTACGGTAAACAGTAGTTGTAAATGTAAACGCGTCGATCAGGACTGTCCTGTCTTTATTATTGGACCGAAAAAAGATTCTGCGCCAAGGTCACTTAATTTCATTGCCGTACTTCTTCAACGCCAGTCGGAAAGAGGTATCCCCGCTCTTTCTCTTTGTCTCAAATCCTGAAAGCACATGCGTGACACCCTCCCGATGTGTACATGTACATACATGCATATGTACATTTACGTACGTATATAAAGATATATATGTGAAAGAAAGCCGGTTCGAGAACACTTTGTATATGTATACCCCTACATATGTGCGTATGTATGCGAGTGCACGACGCGTATGCTGCGGGTATGTATATATGTACGATGTATGTATGTATATATATTTATAAAGTGAGTTACGTCATTTTAGGTAGATCATATGTGCTTTCTAATGAATAATTTTATAAATACAAATATAATACAGATGCCACGTGTACCATTCATTTCGCTTAAATCGGGATGGCACAATCGTCAACGACGTCGCTCGACTAATGTTTTGTATTAAATTAATTTATACCGAAAGAACTGTCTTAGTACTAAGAATATTAGCGTTTTGGGCCATTTATTTTTTGTTCGATAGTTTTTCTTTTTAATTTACGTAGAACATTCAACGGAGTTTGATTGTCGTTTATTGGAATTCGATTTCGTGGAAATATTTTCTGCATATAAAGTTATGCAATCAACGTAATTTTAATACATATTTATGTAGTTTTATTATACTTAATTGGAGTGACGACTGTCATATATGGAAATAAAATTACTTCGTGACGTAAATTCGATTCGGTTTGTTTAATCGTAGCTTTTATGTTTCGGAATTAAGAACAACTACAGTTAATGCGATTTTTGTCGAGCGACATTCGTGCGACGAAAGCTGTTAATCGCAAGTGTGAATTAAAATCATTGTCAAAAGCTTAGACCAGCTAATGAAAAAATGTATGAAAAACGAAACCAGAATAATCGATCGTTACAATATTTAGGATAATTAAAGGAATATCAAGAAACTGTCATAAATTTTTGGCTGCCAATATTACAATTTGACCAGATTTATCGTAAAGTAAAGGATTAAGGAATTGTTACTAATCAAAGCTTGGTAAAAGTCTGTTTGGCAGTTCTTTTGACATGCTTTTGCGACTCCTTCGATCCTTGTGACTAGAGATGCCAGATTTGTTGTTTTAGAAGTTGTTTGTTAGTGATTGATCGCTTCGATTTCAACGTTACTTGTGATCGACCCATTTTACGATCCTGCCGATCCAGCTTTTGTAAAACATCAGATCTGGCAACTCGTTTTACAGTGTAAAGTCAACGAGCGGAAACCGACCAATGTGTACCAAATAACGTCAGGTTGCGCGAGAATTAACGAAAGGAAATTAGATTTGTATTCAACGTGCCGTTATCTCGAAAGTATAGTGTACGATGTAAAGGTACTCTTGGTTTTTTTCCCTTTTTTTTTTTTTTTCATAGAAGTAGTCCGGCCATGGACTCCGAATTTCGAATGAAATCCCGCAATTTCGATGTACGATTATTTCTTCACCTTCAAAGTAACATCAAATAGACGAAATTCACTTTGAAGAAAAATTCGTCCCTTAAGATAGTAAATTGAAAAGTTTTCTAATAAATTTCAATTAAACTGTGACATTAATACAATTAAGGTCAATCGACATTGCGCGACTCATTTATTAATAAAGGGTACTTCACGTAATCTGGAGTTTACAGCGGTAAACTCTATTACACCCTTGAGCAGTTTTCCATTTTCTAGCAGTTTTCGGGATCATTTTCGAAATCGGTGCCTATAGTTGTGACTGGCTCCCGTGGAAGAACTACTATTCTGCTGCGCTAAGTGAAGAGGCTGACGCCATTTTTCCTTTCCCGAGGAAAATACAATTAGCCGATTTAACCATGTTTGGGATTAGCAAATATTTTGAATGAAAGGCGTTTCGTGTATTATTTTGATTAATCCGAAGGAGATATGTGTTATACGTCTAGCATTGGGAATCAGGAAATTGTATTTTTCTCAAAATATGGTAAAGAGTAGAAATGCGTATATAGGCTTTTCATTAAGGGCGGCGGTACTAATCCATGACCACTTTTGGAATTAATGTGCATCCCGTTAAGGAAAGAAAGAAAAATAGGAGTTAGGGGGCGAATTAATTGCACTGTGACTATGTAAAGGCGTGAAAAGCGAAGAAGGTCCACGACTTAGTGGTTCGTGGTCTTGGTGGGCGAAATATCCATAGAGTTTAGTGAGAAGCGAGAAACTAGATAGAGAGAAAGACGAGTGAAAGAGAGCCCGAGAATGCCAGCGTGAATGTGGGAGAGTGAAAAAGATACTCCGGTTACTTAACCTTTTATGTCCAAAAGTATATCTCTCTCTTAAACCACGATCGACGAGAACCTTATGTTGCACGCAGAAATGCTTTAAAGTGTATATATTACCGATAAAAAATATACATATTTTAAAATAAATTTATTACCTCTGATTTTGTCGGGATTGTACCTTCCATCAATGATCCACTAAATATAACGATAGCGTTACCGTGTTAGCCGATGACATTTCTGTAAGATTTTATAGTAATTTAGGGACCCTTGTGTCATAAAAATAAACATAATTCAAAGTAATTATGTATGTAAACATGGTTCAGCATTGTTTATCTCTACTTTGGCTTTTGTTGGGTTCAAGGATTGTTTATTAGTTTATTCTCTAAAGTAAATTGTGGAAGAAAAACGTTAAGATATGTGTACAATTGGAAGGATATGTATTGGAAAAATACAAAAGTTTACTTTGGGCTATAGCGTAATATCGAAAGTTGAAAAATATAAGCGCGCTAGTACCTTACAATAGTGAAGACGTGTAATATAGGGGAAAATTATATGAAAGAAACTATGGCAACGTAATAGGGACGCTTTTGACACGATTTATATTATGCTATAAATATTCGATAAAGATATACTTATTTTAGAATAAATGTATAGCCTCCGAGTTTGTCGTGTTTAGCGAACTAGTAGCTGGGGCTAATTAAATTGAGATATGTCGACAGGAAAGTCATTTAGAAAACAATGATTAACTCCACTTGCATTTCTATGGTTTTCATTAGAATGATCTTTGCGTTATTAATTTCCTAAATCAGATCAAAATGCTTTGATAACGTCCAGATGCTAATTGCCAATAGAGATGAGTTCGAGGCAATAATGTACTTAATAGTAGTAGATAAGTAGATAAAGTCAAATGGAGCGTCACGAATGTTCTTCCCTTACCATCAAAAGCGAGCAGTTCGGTAAGCGTAGGTAAGCCACCACTGGCAACTGTCGCATGGTATTACCATCACGAGTACGTGAGCCGTTAACGGCGACTGGTAGATGGTACCGCCATCGCGAGTGCGCGAGCTCCTATCAGAAATTCGTTGCGCCGCCCTTGGGGGCAAAAAACGGTGAAAGCTAACGTACAAAACCAGAGGGTAGCACCAGAGATGAGTTGGGAGATTGCTCACGGGCAGGGTCGCGCGATCGCACCGTGTGCTGCCCTCTGATTTCGTACGTTAGCTTTCACCGTTTTTT